TTATAAATGTTTCACATTTGAGCAAGAAAGGGAACATCGATTCCAAGAGAGCTTTTAAGCTAAGTTTTGAGTAATTATCTCAATTCAAAGAAAGAGTTTTATTTTTACAAACATATGAGCTAAGTATATGTGGGGATGCGAGTTCATATTAACTCAAGTCTCCATAAACCATGTAGCCATCATGGGTAGTAAAGGATCATACTTTTTAGATGACTCCTTAAGATTCTTTTAGCATAGACTAATGGACCCACTAAGTTAAACGTTTTATATGATGGCAAAGTATAGGACAATTTTGGCAGCGTGGGCAAGACACTGTATCACCACTTAGGCTCATAGTGGTGGTTGTCGGTTAGAGAATCTCCCACAAAAGTTATATTACTTTTATATTTAAGTAAAGTTGAGTTTGTTATTGCTTTATCTTTAACGAACTAAGTTGTTTACACTGTTTTACAAGATTTATATATATTGCATGTGTCTTATTGCTTTATATTGAGTTCAGTTGTTCACGAGTTAAACAGAGCCAAGGTAAGTGGTCCTTTGTCCTCCTTTCAAGCTTAAGTTTTTGTTTTGATTTCCAACTTGCATACTCGTACATTGAATGTACTGATGCCAGTTGGCCTGCATCTTATTATGATGCAGACACAGGTAACCAGGATCAGCATCCAGCACGCCATTAATCCAGTTGAGCACTCCAGAGTCAGTAGTGAGCCTCATTGCATTCTGGAGGATTCTATTATTTCGCTTTCCTTGTTTTGCTTTATTAGGATGTTGTGGGGTATGTCCCAACATCCATCTCAGTATTATAGACGCTTCATAGATAGTCATACAGTAAGTATTGAGTCTCTCATCTATGTATTTGCAGATACTTTGTTTTGAGACATAAGTTGTCATTTTGGCTAAGATGTTATCATTTAAACTATTGCATTGAGTTTATTCTGTTGAGTTAAGTCTTCCGCTGAGTTAAGTAAGCCAGGCCAAGGGTCCGCTTGGGGACATCAACGGTCTCCGAGTGCCGACCACGTCCAGGGTGTAGGCTCGGGGTGTGACACAAAGATACTTCTCAAAAAGGATCAGGAACTCAATACTTAATGGCTTAGAACTTGAAGAAACCACTTCTCTGAAGGATGCTCAACTTACGAAGTTCATGCGGAATTATGGGCATGAAACAACTCGACTTGATGGTCTACATAACAATAAGGATCTCATGTATGCGACTCTTCTTATGGAACACAAAAACCTACACAAAAACAACTTTAAAATCGACATGATTTCATCAAGAACTCAATAATCTCATCAAAACTCAAGAACTAAATCCAATTTCAAGAACATCATACTTTCAACTTTCTAGAACGAACTTAACGCTGAATTTAACATGATTGGCGTGTGGGTGAACAAACCCAACACTATGGAAGCTTACATACCTGAAAGAACCATCTTCTTGCAGCACTTGAAGGAAAACCTTTGAAGAAGAACCCTAGCCTTAGCTTTTTCTTGAATTTCTTGAGCGTAGAATCATTGGAGTGAATGAGAGGGTTTAGATTTAAGAAAACTGATTTTCTACACGTTTAGGGCAATTTAGATGACCTCCTAAGGGATTTTAGGACTAAAATACCCCTAAAGAAATAATTAAAACGAGCTTGGGAGTCGGAAAGATCTTTCACCAGGCAGTGAAGTCTGTGTTCGCTCCGCGTCGCGGAGCTGCTGCCAGGTTTGCGCGACGTTAGTAAATCCATCATAACTTTTTACTCAGAGCTCGGAATTGAGAAAACTCAGTGGCGTTGGAAAGAGGACTCGAAGGGATTTAATTTTCTATCTCGTATCTCACCTAACTCATCTTGTACTAGGAGTTATGGTCATTTGAAGTTGACCCAAAACTTGAGAAAAACTAGGAATGACTTGACTGCTTTTCTCTTAGGTTCTTCTTGGAACTCAAGGTGCAACATCTAGAGACCTTAATACTCAAGAAATTTTAAATTCCTTGCAAAAAATCTCACTCACTATGAAAAACGGTACGAGTCTTAGCTCAAAAAATTTCTGGGGTGTTACATAACTCATAATAAATGATTATATACTCCCTAATTAACAATGAGTTACTTAATAGGAAAAAGAGAAAAAGTTTAAATTTATCTATACAATACTCGAAATTGTTCAATTTTGACTTTCGTTACAATTTTTTGTCTAACCCTACTTGTGCGACCAAGTAAAAATCTCATTTTTTTCCTTGATCGTTTATTTATATGTAAAAATTTATCAAAACTATAACAGAGTATTATATATGAATCCATAATTTTAAATTAACGAAAATTAAGTAATAAATTCGTCTCTATATTCTCCCATATATGTGAGCTTCTTAATTAATGCACTAATTTATTCACGGAACGAGGCAAAATTGTACATCTTTCTGCATTACATATCTTTATTTAAATGCATATGTTAGACCAAGAATGAGGCAAAATTGAACTCTTTGTAATCTAGCTTAAAATTAAATGTACGTTTTATTATATGATACTTATAATTAGCAAAGTTGAATGAATTTTTTATTACAAAAATAATTATTTTAACATTTTCTACTCTTTGTTATCTAGCGTAAAAGGAGGAAAAAAACATTTATGATGAGTTACTATTACTAACCACTCTTGTGGATGGTCAAATAAATTTCAACTTCAAATTATAGAAAATGTGAATAAGTTATCCTCCAAATTTGTTCAAACATTTGATAAATTATTAAACCTGAGCAATCTCAATTATCTAAAACTTCTTATTACTTAGTAAAGTTCAATGATTTGGTTACTACAAATTACAAATTACAAAACCCAGTTAGGTAAATTTAAATGATTTATGTATAAAAACTGAATAATTTTTATGCTGCAACAAATAATCTAGTAAAAATAAAATAAAAACTATGTTATCACGTGTGAAATCTAAAGTATTCTGTTTTTTCAAGTTTCATACGTGAATTATTAGGTATGAGAGTTTTCTGCCTAAATTGTGATCAACTATTTATCAAAACCTACCTCAGATCATCTATATATTGTTCCCTTATTCTACCTGAAATATCACCACCATTAAAATAGAAAAATTGAATAATTGTGAAAATCCATAAACATGTCTTTGGAAATGCCTTCCTCCGAATGTTTCTTCCAGTATTCAATCACTTTAATTTGGTCATTGTTTTGCTATGGACATTAGGCAGGGGAATGACGTTTGAAAAACAATCGTCTTCAATCATATTCTTGATAGCTTGTGACCTTACGACTATCGCCTAGTCCAGTACAAATACCTTACCATCACAAGTCTTTAAAGTTAAAAACTTTGTTAAACAAGACATGATGATAAAAATATATTTGAATAAGAGATGTTAATTTATTTTTGTTGAGAATATTATTGAAAGGAGATTTAAATGATTATAATGTCTGAGAGGTTTGAAGGGCTTAATTTATAGAGCATTAGGTTTTCACTGTTCTAGTTGAAGTAGAAAGTCAAAACGGGGAAAAAAAGTTCGTGGGAATATTTATGGAGACTATTGCTTAAAAACAAAAAAAAATCTTGTAATTGGATATAATGGGTGTTTGAAAAATCCAATCTTTATCACTCAGAACATATGTAACAGATAGGAAGATGGTGATAGGTACAAGAAAGCTTTTGTTGTGTATCGTTTTGTAAAAGCTGAAGTTATTATAACTTTGGAGAATGGTGTTTGAATAGTTGTAGACACATCTTTAATCTATCACAAAGTTTTCTTTTTTTATACCCTAAACAAGAGGAAAATTAAAACTCTACCTAATTTTCTCAAATAATATAACTAGCTTTAATTTCTTTCCAACTAACCTTCTTATTCGTGATTTTTTTAAAAGACATGTAAAGAGAAAAGTCTAATATTTAATATGAGACGGAGGAAGTAACGTTCATCATATTATTTTGTTTGTATGTTAATTGTCCTCCCAACATGAACGATATAAGTGGAGAGACTATTCTAGGTCTTAAGATTTAGAGAGAAAAAATGCTTCATTACCCCATTCAACTATAACACATTTTTTAAAAGACATAGGAACTTTGCAGAGGTCCTAGCACCCCCTTAAATAATTTAAACGTGGCAAAAATATCCCAAATTTCGGTCAATCTCACGTACAAGAAAGAAAGTGCATACACACATCAACTATTACCTACCACGTGCCAATTATTTTTTAATTTTATTTTCATTTATTTCTCATTCTATTTTTTTAACAAAAAATCTTCTTTACTTCTTCAATTGTTAATGTGCGTTGGACTGCTGCAAATCCAACCGTTTTCCTCCTCTTCGCCGCCGCCGACTTCACTGCTATAACTCCATTTCAACCATTTAATTTTTCTATCATCCAATCATAGTTGTATGGGGTAACGAAGAAGGTCATGTAATCTAAATTATTTGAATCGGATATCTATTGAAATCTGTCATTAAAATGTTTCCAACCTCAAATTCATAATTTAATCTGTCGCAAATGTGAATTAGTCATTTCTAGTGAATATACAATATATTAAAAGAATTAAAACATCGAAAGTTGCTCAGATATATATCTAATTTAGGACTATTTAGAGGAAATTTGAGTGAATAATGTATCTAAAAGGATAATATTTTTTCTCAAATAACATAACAAGCTTTAATTTCTTTCCAATATAATTTATAAATCATTCAAAACCGAGCACTATTTCTTCAAAAAGGAACAACACAAGATAGAACTAACAGAAATAAAATAACAATAAAAATAGGATATAGCTAAGGAAATAAGGGAAATAATATAAAATCATTCAAAAGCCCAAGCATTATCTCTACGTACCTCCTCTTCTTCCTCTGGAGTATAATCATTCACGATACCAAATACTTCACGTATTTCCTCTATTGGTTTCCCTTTGATCCTATCAGCAAATTCTTGGATTATTACCTCCTTCAACTGCTTATCATCAAAAAAATTAGCAGCCAAGAGAACACCAACTAATTTTGATTGGCTCATCTTCAAGAAATCCTAATCAAAACTCTTTAACTGATCTTCCGTAACACCTTCTTCCGAATATTTCTTCCAATATTGAACAACTTTGGTCATCGTTTTGCCATCAACATTAGACAAGGGGATGACATTAGAAGTACTATCCACATCTTGTACCCTGTTCTGGATAACTTCTGACCTCACAGCTACAGCCTCATTGAGTTTGAATTCCTCACCATCGCTAGTCTTGAAAGTTATGAGTTTTTCTGAAGACATGACAAAGAAAATAGAAAGAGCTATGAATGAATGATTTCAATACATGAAACTAGCTTGGTCTTTTATAGTGTATTAGGTTTTAATTACTTTCCAAAGTTGTGGTAGGAATATGGAAAGTTAAATACTGCACTGACCAAAATTTATTTTTTTTCCTTTTTTGAAGTTTAATTAATTTGCTTTTTAAATCTACCTATTATGTCTTAAATTATTATGATAATGATATAATTTAAAGTAACAAGGAAAGTTCTAAACTCATTGTTTCTTTAATCATCTACTAGAAGACGAGTCATTTCTGATAGTTATTAAAATCGCTTTGTTTGAGTACATTTCCGATAAATGTAATCGGGAAACTAAAACAATAGAATGACCATTTGATCATTTACTGATTATGTCTATGTCTTCTCAGATCTTCTTCGGGCAATTGGGTAAGTTTAAATAAATAAAATTAGACATAGTCGCAACTATACATTATTTTGAGTGAATATATCTAGAGAATAGAAATGTTGAGAGTAGCTAATGATATCTAAATGTTGGATTGTTTAGTGGATACTTGAATCAAATGTCCATTGAAATCATTCATTAAAAGCTTTTGAATCTCAAAATTTAAAATTTGATCTACCGCAAATTTAAATTGATCATTTCTAGTGAAAATATAATATACTAAAAGAATCGAAACATTGAGATTTTTTCATATGTATAATTTAGGACTATTTAGAGGAGATTTAAGCTAGTCGGTATTGAAAAAAAATCAACTCATGAGGAAGATGCATTGTAATGTATAAATATTATGTAATTGTGTTTGTGATTATTTATACATATCTAATGTATAGATATACATCATGCATATACAATCTTACACTATTCATATAATATTGATACATTACATATACATTCAGCCATTTAATTAAATAAGAATTTGGTCAATGATACATTTACTTGAGAAGCCAAAGTAAATATTGCCCTTTGGAATATTACTAGTATATTTTCATACAATTGTAACAATTGATTTGTTCTATTGTAATATTTTAGGCTCATCCACTATCACCTTGCAAGAAGCACTATATATTGTGCAAAATGAAAGATGATACATATATACATTCCTCCAATTAATATTTTTGAGTGTCTTCACCCAGTGTTTAATTACCGCATTAAAGTTTAATTAATTTGAATTCACGCCAAGTAGGATCTCACTCAGACTATAGCGCTTTTTCTATACATTCTTGCAATAATTTTTCTTTTTATCAAGTCAATTGGATATGCTTTGAATGGAAACAACTCAAAATTATTAAAAAATTAAATGTAGATATTTCTTTTTGATATATCAAATTAATCTTTTAACCATTTGTCAGTGTACCTAAGTCTGCATCAGTAAAAGATGCAGCACATCCGGTGGAAGGAATCTAAGTACATATGAAATTGTACTGTATGTAAAATTGTGGAATGAAACATAACATATATATCAAGATAAGTGTAAACAGCTAGCATAATCATAGTCGTGACATATGAAGGTTAAGAGATGAGGTCGTTCAGAATGCCTTAGGGATACCTTTTTTATCATATTTTAGTTTATTATGAGAGGTTAATAGTGTAACCGATACAAACCGTCATGTGAGCGAATGGAGTTTGATTTCAACCCGATCAACTAAGACATCTCATACCTTACCGAGTATGAGACATACGCGTACATATCATATTAATTCATAACTAGTCCTTACCATGAGCATAAAAGGACTCACTTGAACCAACTATACGATCCTTAATCTATGTTGACAAACGTAGTTTCAGAGTTCGTCATTTAGAATTATGCCTTTTCAATTGACTACTTAGCTCTCTTAAGCTCATATGATCATGGAATAGCCCGGAGACTTATATCCATAACATTTAGGAACCATAGCTCATAAATTTATTTCATATCATCACGTCATCATGTTACAGTTCATGTATCATCATTTTGCATTCATGAGAGACATATATCATATCATAATAATAAAGTGGTATAGAGAATCATAAGATAGCATCATAACGTCTTAAATTTGGGGACTTTCATAACTTATAGTTCTAAGGTTCATAATATAAGAATTCCAAGAAAATATTAAGAAATCACCAAAGAGTTATTAAGAAGTTATAAAGAAAATCATTAAAGTAGTTCTCAAGTTAAGAATTTCTTGTTTTAGTAATCATTCATAATTTCATGTAGAAAATCTTAGAAAACACATGTGTAAAAGAATTATGAAGAAATTAAAATGCTTTCATAGAGGAAATCTTGTAAAAACTCATGGGTAATAAAAGAATTGTGAAGAAATTGAAATACTTTCATGGAGAGTTCTTGGAAGTTCATGAGGAACAAAGAGCAATTCAAGAATATGGAGTTTCGTTCTAACCCTAATTCATTCACGAAGGATTCTTTTGAATCATGAAAACGTAGTTTATTGTGGAGAAGAACAAGGTGGAGATAGTCTTACATACTTTAATGATGAAACTTGATGAAGAACTTTGGAAGATGAACTTTGGCCTTGAATTTTTTTGAACTTCTTGAGCATAGGAATATATGAGTGAATGAGAGGATGTAATTATGAATAATTCAATTTTAACACTTTTAAAGTCATTTAGATAACTCCCTCCAAAAAGTTTCTAGACAAAAATACCCTCCAAAAAATAAAAACCGGAGTTGGAAGATGAAATTTCATTTAAATAGGTAGTGAGGTTTGCTTCCTCTCTGTCATGAACTGGGTCGCGGACTTCCACCAGGTTGGAGCATCTCTGATAAATAAGTCATAATGTCTTAGTACTTTGGACTCTCATTGACAAACGATAGATGGAGTTGGAAACAAGACTTTGTTGGGTTTAGCAAGGTGTGAATGGGAAATAAGAAGAGAAAATGGAAAAGTGGGGGAACCAATTTTGGAGGGAAAATGAAAAGTCATCGCCAAGTGAAAATGAAAAGTCATTTTTCCCATATTGGTAGAAGAAAGGATATTGTGGTCCTTATATTAGGAAACACTTCATTTAGTTCTTAAAGGGTTAAGAAGAAGGTGCCCTCTCGCACCGCCGTCGTCACTCGCTCAGCCTCGGCCTTGGTTTCGGCTTCGGCTTTGGATTTGGATTTGGATTTGGATTTGGATTTGGCAAATAATGTGATTGAACTAGGTCGCGGACTTCCACCAGGTTGGAGCATCTCTGATAAATAAGCCATAATGTCTTAGTACTTCGGACTCTCATTGACAAACAATCGATGGAGTTGGAAACAAGACATTGTTGGGTATAGCAGGGTGTGAATGGGAAATAAGAAGAGAAGATGGAAAAGTGGGGGAACCAATTTTCGAGAGAAAATGAGAAGTCATTGCAAAGTGCAAATGAAAAGTCATTTTCCCATATTGGTAGAAGAAAGGAAATTGTTGTCCTTATATTAGGAAACACTTCCTTTACTTCTTAAAGGGTTAAGAAGAAGGTGCCTTCTCGCGCCGTCGTCGTCGCTCGCTCGGCCTCGGCCTCAGCCCCGGCTTTGGATTTGGATTTTAATATTTTTGGACAAAATTTATTTAATCAATCTTGTTAATTCATTTCCTTTCTCTTATAAATTAATTCAAAATGTTAGTTAAATAACAGAATTAATTTGGCGCAACAGAATTTATTTAAAATTCACGTGTAACGGTAAAAACATTCTGAAGGGACCTATTCCTTTCAAAAAGTCGTTACTTTTTCCAAAAGACAACGTTCTGGAAAAAATGGGTTTGAATAGATTTGTCTGACTAGACGCGTTCCTTGCTGTAAATGGCTATAAATAATAGGTCTTTTTCCATTTTTAAAACATTGAAAATTTTTCCTCTCTACATACATTTTCTTACATAAACAAAATTGTCGATCAACTGAGTCTGTGTGTGCTCTTGTTGTTGTTCTTGCGCTCACTGAAGTTATCGAAGTTTGAGGTACCGCTACTTCTCTAACAGGTTAATCCATTTTATCTTTGTAGGAATTAATTTGCAACCTCGGGTACAGTGAGGGGATTAAATTTCTTAAGGAAACACAGTGGTTTCTATGGACTCGAATTAAAAGCATTCTGTCCATTTCATCTTTTTTTTTATATTTCTGTATTTTTGGCTAACCGAAATACATGAGATAACAATCTTAAGAAATTTCATAGTTTCTGTAGTTGAGGTTTCTGGAGATTAAACGTTTATGATTTTCTACTTTATTTGAATTTTTAAAATCATTCGATTAACAATTAAAAGAACATAAAAATTTTATCGTTAAATCAGAAACAGTCTGTGTAAGGATTTATTCTTTACTGTGAGTATTTCACATACTAAAATTGTTTTCCATTTGACAGAAAAATGACTAATTCAAGTCAAGTAAATGCTAGAACAGTAAGTACTGCAACAACATCGGTTGCACACAATCGTTCAACTGCTGCCCTAGCACCGGCTAAGAAACCTGCAAAGTTTTCTGGAGTCGACTTCAAGAGATGGCAGCAGAAGATGTTATTCTATCTGACTACGTTGAGTCTCCAGAGGTTCATTAATGAGAACGTTCCTATTATGTCGGATGAAACTCCGCCTGAAGAACGATTCTTGGTAACAGAAGCATGGACACATTTAGATTTTTTGTGTAAAAATTATATTCTGACTGGCCTGCAAGATGATCTGTAAAATATGTACAGTAATGTCAAAACCTCAAAAGAACTCTGGGATACTTTAGAAAAGAATTACAAAACAGAGGATGCCGGAATGAAGAAGTTCATTGTGGCAAAGTTTCTGGACTATAAGATGATAGACAGTAAGACCGCCGTCACCCAAGATTCAAGTATTACAGGTCATAATCCATGATCTCTTTGTTGAAGGTATAAATTTAGTTAATACCTATGTTGGAAATATTAAGTCGGTAACACCCAGTATCCAAAAATAGAGATTTCAGATATCTGGTGTTACAGGTGGCACTCACGGACACCATCCACGGACTGAAGATGGACTCACGGTCCGTCCTACAGGTCCGTGGTTCGAGACAGAAAGATTCCCCAGAACTCAGTCAGAAAATTTGGCTAAGTCCCGACTCACGAACAGACCCACGATCCGTGGTCTGTGTCCGTGGATCGAAACTTCCCTTAGCCAACCTCTGACACAAACTACGGTCAACCAGCACGGACCGTCATTCGATCCACGGTCCGTAGGTCTGACCGTAGATGAGGGTCAGCAACCAGTTAGCTAAAAAATATTGATGGGTCAACTTAAGATGGTCATAACTCTTAGCACAAAATGAATTATGTGTCCCATGACCTATGGTTAGATAGATAATTGAATTATCTTTCCAACGCCACCGCTTTTGCTAAATTTTGACCTCCGAGTAAAACATTATGCTCGTTTTAGTGAAACCCTGTCGGGCAGACTCGACCTACGGATCCAATCGACGGACCGTCGATTGAATGACGGCCCGTCAGTCCATTCCGTCAGTCACTCCGACAGTATTTAATTCAAGGGTCTTTTAGTCTTTTCCTATTTTGTTTAACCCCTAAGATACGTCGTTTAAACCCTAAATCATGAGGTTTTAATCTGTTTAAGCCTAGAAACATAACTAGAACTTACCTTAGTCAAAATCATTAATCAAAACTTAGAAAATTAGAATCAAGAAAGCAGAAAAAGGTCAAGAACCCTAGTTCGAGAACGCAGCAAGTTTCCTTCAGTTCCATCCTCGAAATTGAAAGATTTCTCCGTGGAATTCGTCTCCAGGTATGTGGGATTTCACTAGTGGGTTCCTTTCGCCCATTAGGTCCCTAGAATTAGTGAGATTCTTGATTCCATGATTATGAACAGACCTAGGGTTTCTAGAAACTCAACAGATCATCATGAATTAGTTATTTAAATGTTCCAAATCAGATTATCATGTTATTGCTTAGTTTCTTACATAAATTTCAGAACCCTAGCTATGTATTTCATTAGTTCTTGAATTACACATGCTAGGTCAGATATTTCAGTTATTCAGATATACATGCTCCAGTTTTATGCCACATTATCAGTATATTTCAGCATAAACCCTATTTTGAGTTATAAATCATGAGAAGCTTTTCTTTAAGGCAACGCTTGAGTTTTAAATTGAGTTTTTGAGCAAGTTAAGATGAGTTTTGAGAAAGAGCTTCTAAAACATGATTAGTATGACAATTGAGTAGGTCATCAATGTATGAATAATATGGTATCTAGCTATACCATTAATGTTTATGCGGTATGACTTCCCAAGTCATCAATGATCATAGAATATTATGATGTTGAATTGTTTTCTAAAAAGGAGTTTTCAAGTATGAGTATCTACATGTCAGTATTTTGAGCTATTCAGTATTTCAGTCATAATATATTCAGTTATACATGCCTCAGTTTAAGAATGCATCATTATCAGATTAATTGTTGCATTCTCAGTTTGCATGTTCAGTTTTGAGCTATCCAGTACTTTACAGAAATTCAGTCATAACCATTTAACCACTTAATTCATTGGGAGTAGCATAATACCGAGTTGGACTAAGGTTCAGCGTACCCATATAGTCCCAGAACTATGAGCCATGTAGGTGTAAGTCCCCTCTGTGGGCAATATCAGTTTAGTGATCACGCCAGCATGCCTCTATACCTCTGGCAGGGTATATTGGGTCCTCTCGATGGGGGGTATACATCGGACTCCACATTTAGCTCATGTGGTTTTATATCGATTATTAGTAGCTCCCACAGTTCAGCCAGACTCTATTGCATTGACCATATTTCAGTACAGTCAGTATTCAGTCTCAGCATGTTATAAATTTGGTCATTGCATCAGTTAGCTCAGTATTCAGTATTTTCAGTATCTATATCATGTTCAGATTATTTCATTACTTTATTGCTTTGTTCAGTTATATGTTATTTCAGTTTTACTTTATCCGGCATGCTCAGTACCTCTCAAGTACTGACGCATACGTGCGCTACATCTTCTCGTGATGTAAGTTCAGGTTCTCAGCATCCAGATCACGCTTAGATCGGTTCCCGATCTCCAGTCAGCAGCATCAGTGGTGAGTCCTCATTCTTCGAGGACAATAGTCATGTCATCTTTCAGTTTTCAGTCTTTTAGTTTCAGATTTTCTAGATCTAGTTGGGGCATGTCCCAGCACTTCTAGTCAGTTTAGAGGCTTATTTTCAGACATAGTTAGATTCAGCTTAGTATTTTGAGTTTGATATTTCTTTTGTATTAAACTCTCAGATTTGATATATTCAGTTATAGTATATGGGTATTCCCCATCCTTTCATGTTATTTATGATTTAGCTTCCGCATCAGTTTATTATCTTTAGTATGCTCATGATCATGCCAGCAGGGTTAGCTTAGGATCACTTGTGATCCTAGGTCCCGTGTCCGCGTCTCGGGGGTAGCTTGGGGCGTGACAAACTTAGTATCAGAGCATTAGGTTTAAGTGTCCTAGGATGTCTGAAAAGCCACACTAAGTAGAGTCTTTTTCATGGGTGTGAAGTCCACCACATCTAATGAGAGGGAGGCTACAAAGTGATTTTAGGAAAACCTCACTTTCTTGATATTCTTATCGTGCATTGGTATGATCTCCTTTCTAATCTATCGTTATGCGCTTAAGATCATGCCTCATCATAGAGCTTAGGCAAAGAATGCTAATGCACGCAATGCTAACGCAGTTCCTCTAGTCCCAGATCAAAAAGTTTCGAATAAAGAGTTTCGGAATGTCAATTCAGCTTTTGGCTCAGGTATGACCAACGAGAACAATCAGCAAGTTCCAGTTCCTACTAATAGAAATGGTGGATCAGTGGCAGCTAGAGTTTAAGATCTTTATAAGGATGAATCCGCCTGAGTTTTAGGGTCACAATTTGGTGAAGACCCACAAAACTTCATTGATGAGGTTAAGAAAATCTTTGGAGTGATGCAAATGACTGATAATGGTAGGGTTGAGTTGGCATCCTACCAGCTTAAGGGTGCGGCTCACATATGGTACACTCAGTGGAAAGATTCAGGGACTACTTTGTCTTTTGTAACTCCTTACATAGCAGTCCAATTCAGTGTTAGCCCAGAAACTCTTTCAGAACCTTTCTCAGTTTCTACTCCAGTCGGTGACCCAGTTATAGCTAGACGGGTATACAGAAATTATCATGTCACAGTCTCTCAGAAATTCACCTCAGCAGATCTTGTAGAGTTAGAAATGGTAGACTTCGATGTCATTCTAGGTAT